CCCGCGTGTGCCTGCGGTGTGAATGGCTCCACGCGTGAGCGCCACACCCACACATACACACATCAACGAGTGAGCCGGGAGCGTCGCCAGGCGCCTGAGCACGCTCCCTGCGGCGCTGGACGAGGCGCGTTCGGGGCTGACCCCAGGGCTGAGAGGACGAACGGGCCCGCCAGCCTCTGCGACAGCCACACAGGCATGGGAGGCGGCATTTAAAGGTCCCATGGGGCCGCGACAGTGAGCGTGGGGTGGGAGTGTCTGCGGCTGCGAAGGGAGACTGCCGAAGAGCCTCTACATACAGCTGCTGCGACAGTGGGGAGTGTGTTTACGTGTGTTTGGTGCTCCTGGACAGGAGGAGGGGTGTGCCTTTGTGAATGCGTCTCCTAGGCTGTGTCGGGCAACTTAGTTTTATTAGGCGCCGACAAAAAAGAGGTATGGCTGCCTCAGAAGGTCTGTTTGTGACAGTGACACTGCTGGATAGCTCCTGCACAGCTGACAGCAGTAATGCGTGAAAGACCCTCCGAGATGGTTTTCCATTTTGCAGTTACTCCAGGGCACTGGGATATATATGGGTGATGATAGGTTAGGGGTGGAGGACAGATGTGTAATGGTTGTGCTTGTGAGAAAGAGACAGAGTCTGAAAACAGCTTCTCACTGGCAGACTTGGGATTTAGGTGTGTGCGTGGGGGGTGGGGCACAAGGTATGTGACAGCCTGTGAGACAGGCTGCCGCCCAGAATGGGGGTAGGGAAAAGGGCTGTCTGCAAGAGTAGGTCAAATCAGGACATGGCTAAACAGCTTTCTCCACGTGGCTGACGGAGTGAGGGGGAGAGATGTCACGAGTAGATATTAAGGTCTGACTGGTAGTTGGTGTGGGTGAAGAGAACTGGAGTGTGTGCGTGCAGGTGTGTGTGTACTCCTGCATCAGATAGCCAGGAGTGACTCCATTTCCAGTGGACACACATGTAATGTGTTTATATGTAGCAGGGTGCATGGGACACTGGCTAGTAGGCACTTCCCATGCAGTCAACCCACAAAGATGGGCATGTTGTGCTGTGTGTGTGAGTGGAGGAGAGACTTGTGAAGGGTCTCTTCCTGAGGGGAGGAGCAGTCTTTGCTTGATGGTGGCAGTGAGATGTGCCATTACCATGGTTCATAGTGACAGAATACCAAGAAAAACACCTGGGAGGGGAAAGGGGCCACTCCTGAGCATGTCTCAGGAAGGCTCAGTTTAGCAAGGGTACTTTTTCTCCACTGTCAATCAAGGATGGGTAAGGACCTAAGTGGTGTGCATAGAAAAAGTGTCCACAAGTGTTTCTCTGACACTCACACACACTTACCTCCATCCTTACATATCTTAAATCCTCTTTGAAGAAGGTGAGATTCAACAAATAAATATTGATTAGTTTACTAGTTCTTTTTGTGACAGCCATGCCAGAACTGGTCAGCAAAGTTGTGCAGGACCCATGCACAACTGTAACTGCCTGTACCCTTACATGGCTAGCCATGGATTACTGTGGGCAACTTTTCTCCTTTCTATTTTTTTAAATATATCTTTATTGATTTCAGAGAGAGGAAGGGAGAGGGAGAGAGAAACATCAATGATGAGAGACAGTCATGGATCTCCTGGATCATAGGTCATTGCTCAGTGGCTGAGCCACGCTGGCCAGGATTCCTTCTATTCTTTCTCCCTTTTCCTCCTTCCTATACACACTCCTCATGACATACATTATTACTTCATGTACAGGCGACGTGCATGTCTAGCAATGTTTCTTTCTTACACACCTTTGTGTGGAAACTCTACAAAAACCCTTCAGCATTGTTTCTCTGACATGTACAGATACACACACGAGTATAAGTATGTATGTGGTAGGATGACAGTGCTGGACAATTTCTGTTGTAGCTGACTCTCCAGGTTTGAGGGCTGTGTAACAGATATTGCTGGGCAGCTACAGTATTGGTGTCTGGCAAAGGCTTAGAGAGATTTGGACTTCAGAGCTGCTGATTAGGAGGAGGGTGGGGATGGAGTTGATGGTGGAAATCAGAAAAGGATGTTTGGATCAGGAGCAAATTGCAGGGGAAATAAAACATGGGATTACTAAAGCCTTGTTTTTTCACTTCCCAAGATGTAAGCCTGCTTCATTTGACTGTTTTTCTGAGTGTGTTTGGGTCAGATTTTCAGTTATTTGAGGCTGATCCTTGAATCCTTTCGTGTCCTTTCTTTTTCTCTCCCTCTGTTGGCAGTGATGAAGTAACAGAAAATTGTAGGTGTTAGAGAAAAAAATCAATTACAAAGTGTAATTCTGAAATTTTAAATCAGGTGGGGTCTCAATTAAGGCAGATTAGTTAAGTGCAAATGTAACTATACATAGAATGGTTAGGTCTCAGCTACTATTTTGATGGGCAAGCTTGAAAATAAGTAACCTCTTCTAATTACCTAAATAATTACCCATTGCCAAGGCTTTTGAAAATATCAAGGTCTATAAAAAGAAAAAATAATTATAGGGAAAAATCACTTCAAGAACATGGAACTGTTTATTGGAGAAAGAACGAAAAACCAGATTACTTTTTTTACACACAGCTTTTCAGAAAGGTTATCAAAATCTCTTTTTTTTTTAAATCTGCTTTTTAAAAAATATATCTTTATTGATTTCAGAGAGAGGAAGAGAGAGGGAGATAGAAACATCAATGATGAGAGAGTCATTGATCGGCTGCCTCCTGCATGCCCCCCACTGGGGATCAAGCCTGCAACCCAGGGATGTGCCCTGACTGGGAATCCACCCATGAACCAGGGCCATGCTGGCCAGGCTTAAAATCTCTTAATTCCTGCCAGGCTGTTGGGAAAGGAAGACAAAGAGGGGGTGGGGAGAGAGAAGAGGTAGAGAAAGATTGTGGCTTCTCCGCTTCATAGTAGAGGAGTGAGGTTCAGAGAATGGAGGCATCTCCTAAATTATAGAAATGGTAGGGAATAGACACGGTGAATTCATCAGACCACAGTCCTCTGCACAAAGAACTCCACTGACTAAAAAGTATTTTATCCCCAGAGGTGGGAAATCAACAGGACTGCTGGTCAGACTTTCCTCAAGAGGATGGACTCAGTTTTCTCAAGACCCAAGCTGTCCTAGAGAGCCTGACCAAGGCCTAAAGGCAGTGGCTTCCCTGCCGTCACACCACAGCTCAGCTGAGAGAGGCGGTTCTTAGGTTTTGAAGAGGCAATGTGTGTTTGATCCTTCAGTTGTTTTGTAAAAGGTAAAATTCCAAGAATTTTTAAAATCAGTTTGCACTTTTCTAAAAAAGCTGAAGTAATGTCTTTCCCAACATACCTGCTAGAGACTGGTATATGTCAATAAAGATCTTCACTTCATTGCCCTATCAAAAATTGGCTGCTCAGGTGCCCTTGAAACCTGTAAAATTTTTGCTCTTTAATTATTACAAACATTTCTCATCCAATGACTTGTTTTTCCTGGACTGCATGAATTTTTCCAGATTAGTTTCTTGTATTTTTTCCCCCTATCTAGGGGCATCACCTCTGCAGAGTAGGGCTGATATGTCAGCTGATATCTTATATAAAACTTAGATTACAAATTTTACTAAATTTAGAAATGACCAAACAATGGTCATTTTCCCCGGGGCAGAGGATGTTTCATGTTCATCTTTGTAACCCCAGAGAGGATACAAAGGGGCACGTGCAGGAGGCAACCAATTGATGTGTCTCTCTCACATTGATGTCTCTCTCTTTCCCTCTCTCTCCCTTTCCCCTCCCTCCTCCCTCCCTTTCACTCTCTTAAAAATCAATGGAAAAATAAAATATCCTTAGGTAGGATTAACAACAACAAAATTCAGATAATGCTTGCAAAGCATTTAGCACACAGTATCAGTAATGTTAGCTCTTATTATTATAAACATCACAAAAAATTCCATGAGCTGTCAAGTTAGTCACAGTGCACAACAGGGACAGAGTAGGAAATAATTCCTGAGATTCCCTCTTTCCCGCATCTCTGAATATTAGTCGTGGAAAAGAAAATTTGGAGGTCATTTCATCCACCTTCCTCATTTTTTGATTGAGGATACTGAGTGACCCAGAAATTCTAAGCAACTTTCTGGAAGACACACATATATATATAGCAAGTTAGTAATATTTGTGTAATTAAGTTATGAAATTGACAAATATGGCTGTATTTCTATTCTTAGTGAATGGGAAAGAGTAAAAAGATGTTCTTTAATTTTTTTGTTTGTTTATTTTGTAACAAAGATGCCCTTTAATTCATTGTTTTGTAACTTATTTGTTTTGTAAAAATAGAGCCAGATTCAAGATTCTAAACAAACATGTCATTAGCAACACTGAATGAGTTTGACCTGTAACCTCACATGGTTTCTTTAAAGACTGTGTTGAGGATGCCATATTGCTGAAATATAAACCACACTCTTAATGCAGTTTTGGAAAAATTTCAGGCTAGGATAGCAGCAATGTGCACACAAGTTCCTTAAAAGCAGGGACCCCTTCTTGGCTGCATTTGTGCCCCCAGCATCTGGCACAACTGTGGCGAAGAATGGGCGCTCAGTCTATGTTTCTGATTGAGCTGGTGCCTAGCAGATGCTGAGCCAGTCTATTCCTCACTTCTCCTGCCTGTATCCTTTTGTCTCCCCTTTGTCCTGGCCACTGGGAGGAATAAACATTTTGGCTCTTTTAAAATGAGAATGGCATCTCAGAATCCCCTCAAAGTCTCTGGGTGTCAGGACTGTCCCTCAAAGCCCCACCCCCATTTCAGGTCCTTTGATGTGGAGATGTGTCTTAACCCCACTGCAACCTGTCCTCTCTGGCCTCTCATAACCTTTGGGCTTTTGTGTTTGTGCAGGGGTGTCCCTGGGCGTATATGCAGCTAGGTCCGATGAACCTGGCCCAGAGGGCCTCACCTCCACCTCTCTGCTGGACCTCCTGTTGCCCACTGGCCTGGAGCCATTGGACTCAGAGGAGCCCAGTGAGGCCATGGGACTGGGAGCTGGCCTGGGAGCCCCTGGGTCAGGCTTCCCTAGTGAAGAGAGTGAAGAGTCCCGAATTCTGCAGCCACCACAGTACTTCTGGGAAGAAGAGGAGGAGCTGAATGACTCTAGTCTGGACCTGGGACCCACTGCAGGTAGCTCTCCTTACCTAAGAGTATGTGCTGATTGTAGCTGCTTATGCAAAATGCCAAAGGACCATTTCCTTGCTCAAATCACACCTCTTCTTTCCCCACCAGTTTTTTCTGTACATGAAAGTCAGGCCTCTGAGATTCTGAATATCTTATTGTCTCAGGAGGCCCTTTTCTCCTTAATATTCACTGCTATTTAATGAGCCTGTATTCTGTGCTTATATTATCCCCATTTTACACATGAGAAAATGAAAGCTTAGAAAGGTTAAAAGCATACTTGAGGTCATACAACTGTTCAGATTGTCAAGTCATGATTCAAGCTGAGCTCTTTCCAAGGTCTGGGGTTTGTTTGTTTGTTTTTCTGTACTGTGCTGTATTGTCTCTGTTGAAGGTTCCCAGAGGTGCACACATGCCATGTCCTGCCTTAAGTCTCTCTGGCCCCATCAAGGCATTCTAATTTCCCTGCCCTCAGTCATGGACCAGAGCTGGTTTCTGGACTTACAGAGCATGGACGATGGACATGGGAGACCTGGGCTCAACAGGAATGCACGTACCACAGCTGATTACAGGTGCAACAGAGCTTCCATGCTTCTAGCTACAGCAGCTATGCATATGTCCTTGGCCAGCAGGAGCCCATTTTAAATGTCAGACCGTCAAATTGTGTGTATGCGCGCGCACCCATGCATGCATGCACATGGGGTGGGGTGTTACAGAATTTAGCCCTAAGTTTTCTTTTTAAAATGTATAATATTTTCGATTTATGTTTTCTAATTACAAAAATAATATATGAAATTTGTAAAAGGAGGCATGATTAGTATCGCTGTTTTATAGATAAGGAAACTGGCTTAGAGAGGTTTAAAAGTGACACTGAATTACACAAGTAATAAATGGCAGAGCTAAATCTCAAATCTGAGACTTCTACTTCAAGATCTGCTGTTTCTTCTCTATATGAAATCATTCATGAGACTACTTTAATTACTACTGCCTGTAATGAATTTTGTAGAAATCAGATCATCAAAGCAGCTGTCTGCTGGGACTTAGACATGGTTTCTATACAGTGAATCCTTGTTGAGATTGTATCTGCTATAAAACGATTTAACCTTCTGAGTCACGGCCCATACCTCAGGCATGTTTCCTAAGAGGAGGACCATCTGACAGAAGCACTTTCACCTAAGCACCAAAAAATAAAATTTAAAAAATCTGTATTTTTATTTTATGCTAGTAATAAATATCATATGAAAATTAGAAAAGGCAAACAAGTTAAAAGAAGAAAATAAAAACCATCTATAATCCCATCACCCAGAGTTAACAAATGTTAACATGTTGTTGTATATCTTTCTGAACTTTTCTCATATGGGAAATACATAAAATATATGCTTTGACAAAAAATTAGAATTATAGTGTACAGATCTTGCTGTATCAGTTACCAACATCTCTCCAAGCCAGCAAATACAGCTTTCCAGCCTCATCTGTAAGGCCAAAATAGTATCTCAAGTGTAATGGGCTCCCAGTTCTCAGTCTACCCCCTGCTGTGTGAGAGCTGGATGGTTTCCAGTCTTTGTTATGTGAACTCTGCCATGATGGGAATCCTTAAAACCAAATTGTTATGAACACCCTTAATTGTTTCCTTAGGGTACACTTCTAGATGTGAAATTGTGGGTTCAGAATGTTTGTTTTTAAAGCTTTTCATTCATATTGCCTCCCCCTCCGAAATGTGGCCTAATTTCTGTTCCGGTCAGCACAGATTCAATAATGGCTATTATCTTTATAAATAAATAAATAAATAAATAAATAAATAAATAAATAAATAAATAAATAAATAAATAAATATATATTAAAGTTGGTAGGTCAAAAAATTTATCATCTTGCTTAATTTACATTTCTTTCATGACTACTGAGGCTGACCATTAAAAAGTAGCTTTTAATTATACTGAAAGCTTCTTCCCTTGCACCTCTGTTTTATGCACATCTATTATGAATTTTGTGAGTGTTTTTATATTAGCATCCAGTTGAATACTGGCTTGAGTGTTGCACTCAGGGGACAGTTTTCAGTGTTTTGACATTAATCTAAAGGGATATTTAAAGTGATTTTCAAGGCCACTGGCCCTGATGCCTGTTTTAATTCCATGTCTTAAACAGAGGAATCAGCTCATTAATATTTAAGCTGATGCCAAAGGTCATGCATGAAATATGGCTTTCCCAGAAGGAGGAAATAAAGTCCAGTGTGGCCTTCATAAACTGGGGAACAAGACCTACAAAACTGATGAACCCTGGCCGGTGTGGCTCAGTTGGTTGGGCGTCTCCTTGTGGACCAAGAGATTATGGATTCCATTCTCCATCAGGGCACATGCCTGGGTTTCAGGTTCAGTCCCTGGTGGGGGCATGTACAGCGCATTCTGTGAGTAAGGGAGGCAACTAATCGATGTTTCTCTCTCACATCCATGTTTCTCTCTTTCCCTTCCTCTCTTTTTAAAATCAATGAAAGCATGTCCTCTGTGAGGACTTAAAAAAAAAACCCACAAAAAACTATAATGAAATATAAGAAGAAGAAAATGCAACATGTTCTATTTAGGGAATGAAAGCCAGCCCCATAGTGAGATTAAAAGAAAAAAAAAGGCCTGGAAAGTCCAAGTTGTCTAGAGATCTGGAGCTTCATCATAGTGACCTCTAGTGGCCTCTGAGCCATCTATCACATCACCTGGGGAGAATGTAACTTAAGTGCTGTGATAAATGATGTTACCCGACTCAAGAACTACTTTACATTTTGCCTCAGTTAGCTTCTAGTTAGTGAATCTTAGTTCCAGAAATTCATTCAGCAAATATTTGTTGTGTAACTACTCGGTTGATTTTGTATAACCACTGTTAAAACTGGAGAATCCAGAGTTTTCATAAGGGAAAAAAATATTAACAGGAAGGGTTTCAAATGAGGAATAATTACTGTTGGTTGTTCAGCCCCAGGGAGAGAAGGCTAAATTAGGGCAACTAAGACAATATTTAGGGGGTTTTTCCCTGAGGGAAATGCTTCCCAGGTGTTCCTTAGTAGGTAAAACAGAAATGGGCTTAAGTTGTAAATGGACCATCACAGTTAGATTTAAGGATATTAGGGAGAGAGAAAAAAGCCAACAGCATAGCAAGTCCTCTCTAAGGAGGCCAAGACATGTTCTTGAAGAGGATTGTGAACTCCCCTTTTCTAGACTTACTAGCCACCTGCCAGAGGGCTGAGGCCATCAGATAGCCTCCTAGGTCCCTTCTATTGTTAGGACCCTAGGCTCCTCTTAGTCCCATTATAATAACAGGCTGACCACAGATATACCTACTGCAAGCTAGATTGTGTGGAAAGCTTAGAGGAATGCAAGACATGTAGTGTGACTTTCAGAGATTGCCTTGGGAGAAGAGTACCTTCCATGGGCCAGGTGATTTTGCATTCACTATGTCATTTCATCTTAGCCTCCTGTCCCAGAGGGGTGGGTGTACAAAGCCTAGAGGCCAGTCATCCAGAATTCCAATCCCCATCTGCAAAACTCTGAAGCTTGACCTTGGCTCTCACATTTCATCAGGTCTGATGATTCAAGCCTAGCTTTAAAGAGATTGGCTGTGGCCAGAGGTGCAGATGAACTGGGAGAGGTAATGTTACTGCTGTCAGTTTGCTTTTCTCTGCATCTGAAGACATCTGAGTGCTGGCCTGACCAGGAGGTGTCCTGAAAGACTGGCTTTGATCACACATGAGCCTGAGTTTTACAACTTTACAACATGACAAATTTAGCTTAAAAGCTTAGAGAAAGTATCCTCTACTCTCCAAGCTTTTGTTTCCTCATCTCTAAGAGGAGGTGATGGACCCTTGGATCTTGTAGGGCCCCTATCTGATACCCTGTGTCTGGAATGGGGGACTGGATTTTCCCCAGGACTTACAGAAGATATAGTTTCCAGTGATGGCCACCAGAAAGACTGCAGCTTCATGGCATTGTTGCCTGGTGTGTCACCGAAGGAAGGAAGTTCATGAGCCTGGGGGCGGGGCAGACAGTGAGAGGACTGAACTAGCTTCTTCTGAGTCCCCTTGCAGCTTAGCCATTCCTTGACCTTCCACACTTTGAAGCCAAGCTGGAACCTCCCCCTGGAAAGCCTGAGCTCTGGGGGACCTTTCGCATCTCTTTAGTGCCCCAGGTGTCCATACCCTCCTGGGAACAGGCTTTTACTGGCTTTCTTGCAGCCTTCAGCATGTCTCTTGGGTATCTCTGCTTGTTCACACCTGTGTTCAGGTATGGGGCATGTGGGGAGTGCTCTGTAGGTATGTCTTTATCTCAGACAGGCTTTTGGCATTTGTGGGACCCTACTGTTCCACCTCCAGATGCTTGCAGTAGATGGAACAGGAAGGCAGAACAATAAAAGTTGCTACCTAGATATAGTTTTTGATATTTCTAATGAATTTCCAACAAAACTGGTCTATATTTTTCATGTTGTTATCCTGAAGAGGCCTAGGATTCATTGAAAAGTCAGAAAATTTCCTGGTTTCTAGGAGTCTCCTAATTTCTCTGCTTCAAAATATAATCCCTGGAATAGCAGGGAGAATAAAATCCCCTCTCCCACTACTAACAGTGCCCCTGTAAGTCCTGGAAGCCTTTAAAAGCTGTGGGCTCATCCCTTGGCCTCTGGCTAGCTCTCCTTGTGTCTTTTTCATTTCCCAGTCAAGGCCTGAGTTATAGAGTAAGGGCACAGTTCAGGAACCATGGTCAGAACCTATGGGTCTCATCTGTTCCTATGAACAAAAGGTCCCTAAACCTCATAAGGGGAACCTTTTCTAATGGGGCCTTCTTGGTGAAATCCTCAGATGAAGAAACACAAATTATGAAAACAGTGGAGAGGATATCCACAAATTATTAACAAGGGCTATCTCTGAGGGGTGTAATCATACAACCTGTCTACTTTATGCATTCTGTATTCATGGAATTTTGGCATCAGAGTTATGTCATTTTTATTATTATGAAGGAAATGAGGCCCAGCCTGGCCTTTGTTTCCCCTGCAGCCTGCCCCTTCCCCTTACCCAGATGTATTTCCCACTCTTTACCGACATGACCAATAGTGTGGCCTCCACATTGTCCCCCCCAAGAGTCTCGTGGTTCTTTATATCATCTGCTCAGCAAATACTGAACAAATCAATGAATAATAAAACCAGTGAATGAATTTTCCATCTCTGTCTTTAGATTATGGTTTTCCAGACTTGACTGAGAAGGCAGGTCCCATAGAGGACACCAGCCAGGGTCAAGAGGCGTCCAGCCTCCCCCCTCCCTTGCCTAAGATGAACCTGGTAGAGCCACCCTGGCATATAGCTCCTGGAGAGGAGGAAGAGGAGAAGGAAGAGGTAGAGAAAGAAGAGGAAGAGGAGAAGGAGGAACTGCTGCCTGTAAACAGAGCCCAAGAAGAAGCCCAAACTCAGGTCCACGACTTGTCTCCCACCAGCAGCAGCCAGACTCCCCTGGCTCCCAAACACAGGCATGAAGATTCTGGGGACCAGGCCTCCTCAGGTGTGGAGGTAGGGAGCAGCATGGAGCCAAGCCTGTCACCACCCTCATTCACCCCAAGCACAGTGACCCTGGGGGGTCAGGACTTCACCAGCCAGGAGACAGGGGGCACAGTGCTGCCAGCTGCAGGGCGTGAGGTAGAGTTTGAGGCTCCTCAGGAGGCCATTGAAGAGGCTACTATAGGAATCGCTGTATTGGCTGGCACGCAAGGGGAGGTGCTGTCCTTGGCCTCATTCCCTCAAGCAGAAGCCCCCAGTGGGGCTGAAACCCCAAATGAAGACCCCCTTTACCCTGGAGCTTCAGCTGCTTTACCCCTGGCCCCCCAAGACATGGAGCTGACACCTTCCTCTACTACCTTGGGACAAGAAGACCTCAGCCAGCAGCCCCAGGAAAGGCAGGCTGCCGAAGCTCAATCCAGAATCCCCTGGGATTCTACTCAGGTAACATGGAGGCGGGTGCAGGCCATTGACTACCTTGGGGCTGTGCTGTGGTGGGAGGTCTGCCAGGCCAAGCATAGAAGCCCTTGAAACCATGTAGAGCCTCAGCAGAACTATTAGGGATGCACAGCTCATGGCTCAACAGTGGGTGTCCTCACCACACTTACATGCAAAGTAGAAGCTTTGGAAGAGTCTGGTCCTTGGCCTGGTTTTCATTTATTCTGGTGCTACTGCTGCTACCCTTGGCTTCCACACTGCTTATGACAGTGGTGAGAGTTTGTGCTTGACCTGTGTTCTCCCCAGCCGTGTTTCCATGCCCACTATCACACGTACAGTTGCCCTCTGCTCCTCTCCTCATCATCCTTGCCCAGTACACACACACACACACACACACACACACACACACGCCTAAGTCAGTGCTCATACCCTCCAACACCAGAAGGAAAGGAAAGGGGTCCTAAGTTTCCAGCCTGTGCATCTGGTCCACAGGCATGTTTTTGTTTGCCCTACAGAACGTTGAAAACAAGTTTGTAGCTGGGGCAAGCCCTTTGTAGTCTGGCCCTCTTGGCACAATTTCCTCTTCCTTTGTGTCACTCCCGGACTCCTCCTCTCTCTTGCTCCCTAAAGACATGTGGGTTTGTGAACCTTGGGTTGGATCCTGGGCATGTCATCTTGCAGAGGCTGTCAGCTCCCATCTAGTTATCCCAGACCTATACCTGGCCTTCACCTCCTAGCTTCTCAAAGTGTTTCTACCGATGCTCTCTGGATGCCTTTCCTTATGCCTTTATAACTGTCACTCTTATTTCTGTTTCATTGTACAGGTGGTCTGCAAAGACTGGAGCAATCTCGCTGGGAAAAATTACATCATTCTGAACATGACAGAGAACATAGACTGTGTGAGTGCCGAGTTAGGCTGAGGACTGCAGGCTGAGATTGGAGGCAGGCGGGCAGAGTGGGGGCAGTGGGCAGGCACTGGGGAAAGGGCAGTGGATGGATAGAAGCCTTAGCTATTAAGTCAGAGGGGACAAGCCTAACTCAGAGGATGAATCCATCAACATCCAAGAAGGCAGTGCTTTCATATTTTCAAATTTCTAAGGGCTCTTTTGTTCTTGCCCCCTCCGTTTTTCATTTAAAGGAGTAGTTTTGCTCAGGTGTGCAATATCTTATCTCTCTGAGGATATTGAAGTTTTTTTTAAAAAAATCTTTTCTCCCTGTATAGGTTGCTTTCCCCATTTCTTTGTTTCAGTCTCAGTTTTTCCACATGCATACTCTTCTCAAATGTCTGGTGGTGTTTGCCTCCAGAAAATTGGTTGGAAGCTGAGAGTGGTGGTGGAGTTAACTGTGGCTTCTCAGGAGGGTTGTCTGACTGGGTCATTTCATTAGAAAATTTCTGATTTCAACATCTTTAGGTCCTTCCTCCTAGGTGATTAGATTATTTGAAAAGGGAACTTCTATTCTACTGGGAATATAAAGGACTAGTTGCCAGTGTTGTGGGAGCCAGGGTAGCGAGAGGGCTGGGTGTCTCAGTATTAGGAACATGTGTGCATGAATATATTTTACTCCCCTTGTTTACAGTGTGAGCCCCCTTCCATAGTTGTGCCTGGTGTCTGCTAGGTTAGAGACCCTCTGTTTTACCCTCTTTAAAGAATAAATTTCCAGTCTTCTGCTAGGGGGAAGGGACATTTGTCATCTGTGCAGTGTTGGGGAGATGGAACTAGGGATTCAGCTGCTGCCTAAATAGTCTTTCAGTTTTTCTATATTTAGTACTGTTTCATCCCTTCTTGCAAAGTTAACCAGTGCTGCTTATTCCAGAGCATTTGGGAAGTTCGACAGTATAAATCTGATTGCTTCTCAGCTTTCTCTGTTTTGGCTTAAGATTCAGCTCTTCAGGGCTTGCTAAATCAGGGGACTTTTTTTTTAAGTTAAAAAAAGTTTCAAATTTTTCAATTAAAGTTTACATTCATTATCATCCTTTATTAGTTTCAGATATACAGCAAAGTGGTTAGAAAATCATGTACTTTACAGGGTGATCCCCCCATGCTTGAAGTGCTCGCCTGGCCCCATACATAGTTATCATGGTATTATTGACATATTCCCTATGCTGTAACCTATATCTCTGTAACTATTCTGTGACTACCAATTTATACTGCTTAATCCTTCCGCCTTTTCTCCCAGCCCTGCTACCCCCTTCCCTCTGACAACTGTCAGTCTGTTCTCTGTATCTATGAGTCTTTCTATTTTGTTTATTTTGTTCTTTAGATTCCACATATAAGTGAAATATATAGTATTTGTCTTTGTCTTACCTGTTTCACTTAGCATAATATCCTCTAGATCTATCCATGCTGTAGCAAAAGGTAAGATTTCATTCTTTTTTTGGCTGAGTAGCATTCCATTATGTAAATGTACCACAACTTTTTTATCTACTCATCTATCACTGGGCACTTGGGTTGCTTTCATATCTTGGATATTTTAAATAATGCTTCACTGAATGTAGGAGTGCATATATACTTTCGAATTAGTGTTTTGGGTTTCTTCAATATATTCCCAGAAGTAGAATTGCTGGGTTAAAGGCAATCCATTTTTAATTTTTTGAGGAAACTCCACACTGTTTTCCATAATAGTTGCACCAATTTGCATTCCCACCAGTAGTGTACTAGGGTTCCCTTTTCTCCACATCCTCACCAGCACTTGTTTGTTGATATATTGATGACAGATATTCTGACAGGTGTGAGGTACTATCTCATTGTGTTTTTGATTTGCATTTCTTTGATGATTAGTGATGCTGAGCAACTTTTCAGCTAAATCAGGAAATTCTAACTCATCCATCCAGACTTTGTTGCTCTTGTCTCTTCTGTTTTGTTTTGGCTTTGGCTTTGTGGTTTTAGACTTTACAAAATTCTTTAATCTTATTTAGTCACTTTGGGGGAAGTGAAAGTACATGGGTATGTTTAATCCAAAAAGTGACCATTGGCCCTGACCGGTGTTGCTCAGTGGTTAGAGCATCAGCCCATGCACTGAAGGGTTGTTGGTTCGATTTCCAGTCAAGGGCATGTACCTCTATTGCAGGTTCAATCCCCAGCCAGGGTGTGTGTGGGAGGCAACCAATCGATGTGTCTCCCTCACATCAGTGTTTCTCTCTCCCTCTCTCTCTCTGTCTCTCTCTCTCTCTCATTCACTCTCTCACTCTCTTTCCCCCTCCATCCCTCTCCTCCACTCTCTCTAAAAAGCAATGGAAGAAATATCCTCCTGTGAGGATAAAAAAAACAAAAACAAAAACCCCACCAAAAGGACCATTGAGTTGTTTTCTTTTTCCCAGCATCATTATAAATGGATGGATTTTAACATACTGATACATTTTAATCCATCACAGTTATTCTTACTGATGCTCAAATGCCCTGCCTTTGGTCAGTGAAAGTCTCTTTGAGTTGGCTTCTGAGTCCTTTTGACCAACCTATTAGTTTTTGGGAGTTTCCTTGCTTTGTGGCATAATAAGATGTTCCAGGCTCATTTTGTATGTTCCCTCCCCCAGAATCAGAATCAGCATTTCTCCAAGCTCTCATTCCTCTTATTGAAAAATGGTAGAGACCACAATAAAGGTAGTGTAAACCCTTTAATATTTGGTATGCATGCTTGAACAATAAAGTCTTAAGATAATATATCTCTTCTCTTTCCAATAACACATAGATATCAAAATGCTTTAATTTTGCTTTCCCTGTTTTTATCTTGTTAGTCTCATATAATATTTGATGACTACCTAGTTAGTCATTTTTTTATGGCAGATATTTTGATTGTGTAAAAAAAACTAACAAAATTTGCCATCTTAATCATTTTTTTTAAATTTTATTTTTGTTTAAAATATTACAGATGTCCCTTTTTCTCCCCAATGACCCATTCCACCCCGTCCCACCCCCCTCCCCAGTCCTTCTCCCCACCATTGTCCGTGTCCTTGGGTTGTGCATATATGCATATAAATTCTTTGGTTAATCTCTCCCCCTCCACCCACCCTCCCTCCTTCATCCCTCTGACATTCGTCAGTCTCATCTATGCTTCCATGTCATTGACTTAATCATTTTTAAGTTTACAATTTTGTTAAGTATATGCACATTGTTGTGAAACAAGTCTCCAGATCTTTTTAATTTTGCAAAACTGAAACTCTGTACCCATTATACACCTCCCCATTCCTCTCCCTCTCAGTCCCTGGCAACCGCTATTCTTTCTGTCCCTATGACTTTGACTACTTTAGGGACCTCATAGAAGTGGAATCATACAGTGTGATTCTTTTTGTGACTGGCTTACTTCACTTAGCAGAATGTTCTCAAGGTCCATCATGTTGTAGCATATATCAGAATTTCCTTCTTTTTAAGGCTAAATAATAGTCCATTGCGTGGATAGACCACATTTTGCTTATCCATTCATCCATCAATGGATATTTGGATTTCTTCCATCTCTTGGCTATTGTGAATAATGCTAGTGTGAACACTGCTGTACAAATATCTCTTTAAGACCCTGATTTCAGTTCTTTTTGTGTAGACCCAGAAGCGTAACTGCTGGGTCACACTGTGATTCTGTTGTGACTTTGTGAGGCACTGGTGTACTGTTTTCTGCAGTGACTGCACCATTTTACATCCTCATCTCAGTGTCGGTGGCCTGGGAGAAAAGCCCTGGCTTTGGAACCTAAATAATCTGGGTTCAAATCCTGGTTCTGCGGTTTAGCAGCTTTGTGACCTTTAGCTAAATACTGCACCTCTCTGAGCCTCAGTTTCCCCATCTGAAAATGTGGGCATTAGTCCTAACAGCCTGGGCTTACTGTGAGGATTAAGCCAGGCAGACAGCTGGACCCAAGAAAATGTGGGGCATGCACACGTGGTGGAGCAAAGTGTTCCAGCATGGGGTGGGAAGGCACTGCCCATGGCAGGAGGGTAGGATTTTTTGCAAGCAGTAGAGCTGCTTGGCCACAGTGCATTCTGTGTACCCTGCTCAGGCAGGTGAGGGCATGCACCCCTTACACATACACATATACTTACACGTACACATACCCGTGCACATACACATACACATACGTGAAGATGGTAAGAACCATTTTAGGAACTAGGACTTTCCTAGCTGCATATGGCGATCTCCAGGTACCAGTCTTCTTCCAAATTCAAAACTGAGTTGGGTTTCTGTTAGGCCAGTAAGTGCCAAGGCTTGAGCCTGAACCTGGCACTTGCCATGGTAATGAGGAACTTTACCCTGGTGGCCTTCAGGTTGATATGACATCCATGGAAAGCTCATTAGTTTGGGCTCTAACAGAAAGGAGTCTAGGAGTGTCAGGGATACCTGAGGGGTGGCCTGGTGAGATGCCTGTGCCTTATGGCAGCCCTGGCTTGCAGCTTTACAGAAGGGCACTCAAGAGAGAGCTGAGCAGCTGGCAGAGGGGTGTCTGGCAGGGACCTTTGGAAGCCGAGAGCAGGGGATTGTTGACTTCCCAGGTACAGGAGGGAGAAGGCTGCTGGAGAGGAGCTAGGAGTTGGAGGAGATAGGGAGTGGGTAGCAGTCACAGGGCCAAAGAAGGGTTTCTTCCCAGATGGGGCTAAGTAGGGACAATCGCAGGCTGGGAGCCAGAGGCAGGGTCCTGGTCTCCAGCCCCAGCCTGAGCTTCTGCCACTCACTGAGTTCCTGCTCAGTGCTAGCATCTTGCTTTTAAAAAATTATATAATTACATATATACAGGGTCAAGAAAATCTAAACAGTACAAGAGAGTGTCAGATGAGAAAGAAGTCTCCTAACACCCCTCCTCTTGCTCCCAGCCTTGCTTCCAGAGGGAGGGGGTTACCATTTTAACCATTTCTGATTAGTTCTTCTGTATCACTACCACGATTAGAGAACTCAGACATCTTTCATGATTCTCCAATTTTGGGCTGTATCTCTACAATGACAGCACAGTTAGACTGCTTCCCACCTGTCCTCCTGGTCTTTGGTGACTGTACAACTGCAAAAATCTTTTGGTTTTTTTATCCCTGCATCCCAAAATATTCATCCCTTGCACTACACACTTGAACACACAGGCACCATGAGCAGTCTTCCATACTCCTTCACATGCTACACACCCACTTCCTGGACTTATCGTATGTGGGCATATGTGTACCCCCAGCTCAACTGTGAGTATCCCTGGACAGGCCCCACGCCCTCCTCATGGCGAAAAGCCAAGGTGGGAAGGAGCACCTGGATACCTGTAGGGAACAACTCACAGTCCTGTCGAAGGTGAAGCTCACAGCCTTTCGAGTGGTCCAGTGTAGCCCCCTCTGAAATAGCCGGATGGCCTTTCCCAGTGTTTGGCTGATGGGTGGAGGTTGGAGTGGGGGCTGGGCCTAGAGGCAGGGGTCATTAGAGCTATCTCCCTCACTGAGTATAGGCTTTCTTTCTGCCCCTGTAGGAGGTGTTTCGGCAGCATTGGGGGCTGCAACTCCTGGCCCTGGTGGAGGAGGTGCTACCCCGCCATGGTAACGGCCACCACGGGGACTGGCACATCTCCCTGAGCAAGCCCAGTGAGAAGGAGCAGCACCTTCTAATGACCTTGGTGGGCGAGCAGGGTGAGCGGGGGGGAGGGGCACCCACAGGAGGGGGGATTGGCATGACTGGGGAGAGGGTCCAAGAAGATAGTGGGAGGCAGGCCAAATCAGCAGACCTTTCCCAAGGCCATGGGAGCTCTCCTGCAGAACTGTGGGAAAGTGCAGCCAGGGCTTTTGGATGTGGGATGGGCTTTTAGGATAGCAGGATGAGGTGCTTCTTGGACTCCCTAGTTTAGGATCCAGGAGTACCAACAAGCTTGGAGGCAGGGGGAGGAGGAGGGTGGGAACATTGGGAATAGGAGGGGGAAGAGGTGTGGTTTCAGTACAGCTGCCTGACAGTGGCACTGTGCACTTTGTGGTGGGCTGAGAAGGGGTGTGTTCAGAATGCAGCCTTAATAAGGAGCTGTGGAGGTGACCGCCTGGTATCACAACTGTCACTTAGTAGGCACTTGCTAAATCTTTTTAATGAGTCGATCAATGGGCAGCAAACAGAGAGTGGTTGTGCATGCACCATGAGATCTATGTGTGATCAGGAGCCAGGGAGTGAGGCTCTAGAAGCTCAGGTCAGAGATTGTCTAAGGGGACCAGGAGTCCGTAGGGGGAGCACCTCAGTGGTCAAGGCTGTACTGATGATGATGTCTCCCCCCAGGGGTGGTGCCCACTCAAGATGTCCTTTCTATGCTGGGTGATATCCGCAGGAGTCTGGTGGAGGTAAGAGGGCAGGAACAAGTTCCTCTCCTGTTCCTTAAAGCTCTGGGTACAGGGCTGCCTTCCTTGAGGGTGGGAGGGTGACCTGCACCATGTAGTGCAAAGGAGCAAAACACAAATTCTTGCTCTAGCTCTTCCTTTCAGGCCTCCTAAGACACAGTTCCCGTGGAAGAGACAGAATATATGAGCACTTAACTATCAACCACACTGTGCATGGGACAGCCAGGGGACAGCCAGGTGGGAGTTTTCTGAGTAGATAGTGGGAGAAACACTGGCCAAGGAACTGTTCAGAAGCCTGGTAGGTGGGAGCATGCGCTGTGGGTGTCAAACCACAGGAGAAAGCACAAGAGGCCTGGACATTTTTCGGAAACCATGGGAGTATGCAGTGCTTGGCCAGCTGGGGGCCAACTGGGGTGGAGGGGCAGGGCTCAGGGCACAGCAAGACAGCCCTGCCTTCTTGAGATTCACCCCCAACCCAGTACCTGGCCCATCCTGGAGACCTTGGCTAAGGAGACAGGCTGGCCACCTGTGCAGAGAGGAGCAGAGCAGGACCCTATTGTTCCTCCTGCTCCTCATTCCACTTCCCTTCTTGAGGACAGTCACCATCTCTAACAAAACCCCTTCCACTCACTGTGAAATCCAGTGATCTGTCATTAGTCTTCCTCCTTATTGAGGGCTGTGCAATATTTGACAGCAAAGATGAGCTATGCAGGACTGTGGTCCTGCCTTCTCATCTAGTACACACAGGGCTAAAGAGTGGATTCTGTGGGGGTTCTGTGTGTTTTTTTATTAGCATATTGAATCCTTACTGAGTGCTAGACTGTGCTCAGTTCTTTCACCACCACCACCCCAGGGCTTGTGAGCATTTAGTAAGACACCCTGTTGAGTGCTGTTGGTATCCATTTAAGGTTAGAGCTGAGACCCAGGGAAGGGCCCCGACTCACCTGAGATTGCACAACTAGTAGTAGCAAAGCCAAGCTCTGGACCAGGCCTGAAGTACTCAAGACCCTGGTCTTTCTCAGCGCTCTATCTATACCGAGGGCTGTTCTGATTGTGTCTGGGTTTGTGAACCCCGCGAGCTGGTGGGAAAAGGCTGGCCTTGACCTTTTTTATAGACCCTCCTGCCTCTTCTCCCAGCCCCTGGGTATTCTGATTTTACTGGACACTTCATACTGACTGATGTGGCCAAAGGTATGCCGGGCCTTTGGAAGTGTATTAGTGGGCAAATTTAGCAAGTTGTAGCAAGAAATATGGACCCTTGATAACTTAAAAAGTCAATAGAGGAACATACTGGAAATACATAGGTGGTTCACAGAAACCAAAGAAGAGTTGAATACCTGGCATTAGATAGAGAAGTGCAAGGCAGAGAGGGGTCCCCCAGGTTCCTGCACCGGGAGCCAGGAGAGAGCACCACCCTGGCACCTGTCTTCTGAGGAGATCACTTTACCTTCTCTGCTCCCTTTCTGCCTGGATGCTGATCTGTGGAGAGAGCATCTGCTGGGCTGGGTCAGGGCACTGCAGCCTCTAGACCAGAGAAAGCAGGCCCACCCAAGACAACTTGCAGTGTGGGAGTGGGGTTGGGCAGCTAAATACCATTGGTGACCACTCCTGTGGGAAGAGGGAGGAAGCTGGGAAGCTAGAGTGGCCATGATGTGGGCTGTCCCCAGCATCTCCTGCACTGTCTCTGGCCCATTATGGCCAGGCTGATACCAAAATACCCACCCCCCGGGTGGAAGCTGTGTCCCAGGGGCCTAATTCAATGCTGGTGTGTGGTGGAGAATGTGTGGCAAGGGGATCACAGCTGCCCTTGTCTCTTTTCTTCTTTTTTAAACTGGTGGGACAGTGTGAGACTCCATCTAGTTTGGATCATGACTGGCAGCATGGGGGTGGGCAGCCTCACTGGGGGGATAGGGTCACAACCAGATGGATTTCAAGCCAGACTTCTTCCCCAGCGGGGTCAGGGTCAGGCAGTGCCATGGTGGGGATGTGAGGAGAGGCAGGGAATGGAAATGTAGGGTAGAGAGGCTTGGAGCTGCCCCCAGGTGAACAGGGTAGGCATAGGGGAGAGAGAGTCCCTCATGAGCATAGATCCAGGCCTTTAAGGGAGCTTTAGGAGCCAGGAGTGTGCCAGCTCTTTCTCAAAGCCTGTCCCTGTTCCTAAGCCCCAATCCCATGGGGTGGGAGTCATGGAACCCCAGAACCTCAGCTGAGGAGCCTGGCCCCTCCCACCCCCAGATTGGCATCCAGAACTACTCCACAACAAGCAGCTGCCAGGCCCGGGCCAGCCAGGTGCGTAGTGACTATGGGACACTCTTTGTGGTGCTGGTGGTCATCGGCGCCATCTGTGTGATCATCATTGTGTTGGGCCTGCTCTACAACTGCTGGCAGCGACGGCTGCCCAAGCTCAAACATGTGGTGAGTGTGGGGTCAGGTGGGGCAGAGGTCATGGGCTGGGGGCGTGCTGGTGGAGATGGGAGTGCCCAGCAAGCTCTGTCATCTGCAGACTGTGTCTTCATCTCAGGGTGACAGGCGGTAATTGTTCTGGGAATGGGGTACTGCAGGTGAGGCCATTTGTCCAGTGCCTGCATCTCAGTCAACCTGTACAGGACACCAGCCGCACCCCAGGAGCCCTCCATGGCACCAGCCCCTCCTGGGGCAGAGTGACCCTGCAGGCCTGAGTTCAGCAGGATGTCTCACTAGAGAAGCCCTAGGTCAGCAGTGCTCAGGGGTCAAGAAAAGACTCCCCACAAAGGAGAGGGCAGGGCAAGACTCCCATTTTTTCAGGAGTTCCCTGGAGTCTATGAGGAGGCTGTTGGGAGGTATCAGCTGGTGTCCAGGAGGCTTCGGGCTTGTTTAGTCAAAGGATCGGTAGAATTATTTTAAGAAAGGAGTTGGGCTGTGGAAACAGAAGGGAAGTGGCATCTGTCGAGGGTCCCTGGGGTTCCCTGTGTACGGTTTTACAGACTAGGGAAGGAGCAATGAAGTGACTTGTTCAAGGTCACAGGCTAGGCCAACGGGGCACGTTGGTGCAGCTGGTGGGCTGGGCAGGGGCCTGGCCCAGGTGCTCGCCCAGCAGCCTGGTCCTGGTCCTGGCCCCGCAGTCGCACGGCGAGGAGCTGCGCTTCGTCGAGAACGGCTGCCACGACAACCCCACGCTGGACGTGGCCAGCGACAGCCAGTCGGAGATGCAGGAGAAGCAACCCAGCCTGAACGGCGGCGGGGCCGTGAACGGCCCGGGGGGCTGGAGCGCGCTCATGGGGGGCAAGCGGGACCCTGAGGACTCGGACGCGTTTGAGGAGGACACGCACCTGTGAGGGCTTGCGCGCCGGCGCCGCGCCCTGACCAGCGGGGCGAACCCAAGGCGCACAGTTGTGCCCCCTCCTTCTCGCCTCCACCCCCCGCAGCCAGGTTCCCGGTGCCGGCTCCTCCCGCTCCCTACCCAAAACAGTCTTGGCACAGCCCTCCCCACCCCCACCCGATGTCCCGAGGGGCG